AAAGAGGGGTATGATAGGACATGAAAGGGTGACTGTAAAAAAGAAACAGCAATCATAAGAGCCGCGTCGATAGAGGCTCGGATGTTGGGACGAGGAAAGAAAAAAAAAAGAAGCAGAGATAAGGAACAAGACACAAGCGAACGATCAGAGATGGCCAACTATGCAGCGTACACAGCATATGGCAAGCCTTATGTCTCCTAATGTATCGTCACCATCAGGGCTAGTCATTTCGCACCTCAGTCTTCTCGGAGAGAGGCTTGCGCATGACAGCGTCTTGGCTAGTCATCCTCCGACCCAGAGCGCGCTCGACCTTAGCCCCGAGAGCGAGTTTGTTCAGGTTGTCCGACTTCTCCTCCGTGGGGACAAATCGCTGCTTGTTGAGAGGCTTGCTCTCGAGGCGTCCGAAACCGTCATGGAGGTGATAGATGTCAGCGATTCTGGGGTCGCCGTTGAGGGTAGTGCTGTCGGAGGCAGCCAGCGAGGGGCTTCCACTGACAGTGGAGAATCGCTTTGAGTTTCGGTTCTGCAGCAGGTTAGACTTGCGGGGTTCTCAATAAATAAAGCAAAGGCCCTACAGCGGACAGAGTATGTGGAGGGGAAGAGAAGGGGATTCCTACCGATTGGGCCATGATGGGACGCTCAGAGTCGAGAGAGGGTTGGCGGGCCATTTCTGGGGGGAATGATACGGTTATAAAGAGGAGGATTTGCGCCGAAAGAGGGGCGGGATTTCAAATGGTAGGTATAGGAAGGCCTGAAATGGAATGCAGACTGCAGGATTGGGCTATTAGCGGGTGTATTATTTCCTAGTGGCTGGGCGATCTTGAATTTCCAAGGGATACATACTCAATCCGGGTACTCCGTCAAAGGGGATGTGTTGGAATCAGGTGCAGAAGTACCAATGCAGTGCAAGAGTAGAAATAGAGTCACAGAAAGGAGAAGACGGGGTGGAGTCAAAGTGGTTAAGTGGTGGGGAAAGATAAAATGTGTGGCGGAAAAGGGGAAGGGATTTTATGGAAAGATCGACGTAATCGTAAGATGTGCAGTAAAGAGTCTGCAATGAAACTCCAAGGTGGATATGTGATTATACAAATAAGAAATGACCTCGGGATTCAATCTCCCTTCTCTGATGTCAATTAAAAGCTTTACCGGGAATATCTTTGCCACGTGCTGGCCACGCGAGCCGATCATTTCGGCGGGTACGGAGTACTCTGGTGATATACACTTTGTTTACTCCGTATGGAGATTAGTATTGTACAACATATATTGTAATATGAGGATATCATGATAAGATGAGAATGAAAGACTTGGATTACTTGCCAGTTTCTATCTCCTATAACATATGTCGTATTGACAGCAAGGGGCAACGTCTTGGTCTCTATCTCTGTATATAGTATGTACCATTTTACACAGACAAAGAGCTGGCAACACAGAGACCCAACAGAGCCCCTTTTACAACAGGTAACTATAATACCACATTCAAAACCAAAAAAAAAATGATGAAACAAGCCCGTTTACCCCAACAGTCCAACTATCTAATCTTGGCAAACCATGCAGATCACGGAGCACCAGGATGCTTTGAGAGTCTATAGTTCGAGAAGTCTTGAAAGAAGTCTTGAACTACTACATTAACAAGTAATGAATCTTAAACCTATCAGAATTGTTACATGAAGTTGACGTGAAAGCAACGAATACAGTTATACTCCATCACACACCGCACAGATTCTGCCGGATTTACTTCCAATTTCAAGGTGCAAAGCCATCTCTGTCGATCCTCATTCAATTCAATCAACAGCGTCCCGCAGAAATGGCCAAGCCAAAATCCTTTCTCAGGGAGACAAAGTCGAAGAAGAAGTCTGCCTCAAAACAGGTATGCAGTAGCAATATATCCCGCACAGAAACACAGAACAGCTTGGTCATGATCTCATACATTTTGATTTAGGTACCTGTGACCGCAGATGATTTTCTCGCAGGTGTGTATCTGAACCCCAATAAGCCAATAATATCGACGGTCAAAACTTAACTATTCTCCAGCCGGCGTCGAGCTAGAAGAAGCCGGCGAGAAATGGCGGGCCGGAGATGCGGCCAAGTCTATGCGCTTCTTTATGCGGGCCATCACCAACTATGACGAAGGACTACAAAAACATCCCGGCACATTTGATTTAGCTTACAACAAGTATGTAAACAAGCCATTATTTTGCATTTTGCATTTTTCAAATCTCATCCATGATCGAAGAATATTGGTTTGAGTTTACCTTTACTAACACACCACCTAGAGCACGAGTCCAATATGAAATCACCCAGCACCCCAAATTAGCGGCCCAGTTGCCAGCACCACAGGGAGAGATCTTGCAGGTTGCACTGCAGTCACACCGGGATGCGTTGGCCCTGGAGCAGGACAATGCTGACGTGTTGTTCAATTCGGGCCAGGTGCTGACCAGCTTAGCGGAGTTAATATCTAACCTGAAGCATCCCGACGAGGAGCAGCAGATGCAGGCAGGCACCTATTTGCAAGAGGCAATTGAGCTGTTCCAGCGGTGTCTAATGGTACAGGAGATGAAATACACGGAAATGCAAGAGGAGATCGAAATGATGGAATCCGGGGATGTGCCACCGGAGCCGGAGGCTGTACCACCGGCCGCGGGACAGCCCAAAGCCGAGTCCGCAGGTGAGGAGCAAGAACAGTGGGCGATGATTGTGGAGCCCGTCACGAAGAATACGCTAGTGGACACGGCGGTGGCGCAGCTGGAGACTTTGACTACTCTGTGCAACCTGTTGACTTCTAACCCCAGTGCGGGCGGTGTTGGTTGGGTGCAAGAGTACTCGTCGGAGCTGGTGCAGTCGCGACTGCCTGCTTATGCCGAAGGTTCGGACAGACAGTACGAGGCGGCCTTGGCGCGGGCCAAGTTCATCTGTGCCTTGAACGATTTGCTCTACCGAGGCGGACATACCGATATCCAAACCTACCAGCAAGAGGTCGGACAGGTTTTCGGTCCAGAGCTGGATGTATCAGCGGACCCCGATGGACTGTGTAGCAAAGCAGATGCGCTCACATCGCTGAACCAGGCACTTTCGGATATCCCCCCACCAGAGGATGACGAGATTTTTGAGAACGCGGTAGCATTGCGTTGGAAGTCGCTTTCAACCGCTTTGGACGCATTGACGGCTGCTACCAAGCTCCCGGATGCCGACAACCTATCCAAGATTCACCTTGGCCGCGGAGACGTGGAGATGCACAGATGGCGTCTTGGTCGAGCACCCTGGAACCACACCATGGCGAAGCAGAACGGAGCTATGCTTCTGCGCAACGCTCAGACGTACTATCGCGGAGCAATAGCTCTAGCTCGCCGCGACGGAGCGGCCGAGGAAGAACGCGATGGAACGTGTAAGGAGGCGATTGCTGCGGCGATCGAAGGCCAGAATACGAAGCTCGAGCAGCTCAAGTCAACGGACCTCCAACAGGTGATAGTCGTGGCCCAGGATATGGTGGAAGACGGTATGGTCGACGGCAGGGAACTGAGTGCCCTGATTTCATCATGAAGCGGACAGAGAAACAATTTTCGCATTACGCTCACAGACCCGGGCGGGCTTTTGCCTCCTCATCCATCTGGATCGCGTCCTGGCGAATGTGATGTTGTCTGCTAAATTGCGTGGCCGCTGTAGCAGCACCCTCAATATCCGAAACAACCAATCCAAGATGCGACAATAGCCGCTCAATTTCCAGCCTCTGCGCCTGCACAGTCTGCGCAAGCTCCGCGTTTTCCGCATGAGTAGCCTCGAGTCTGGCGTTGAGGGTCGACTGCGCTTCTTGCAAATAAGGCGTAAGGTGCGCCCTGTACAGATCTTCAGCGCCGAGTGTATGCGCGCTGTATAGTAAACAAAGTTAGAAGTCAGAACCAAAAAAGCACAAAACAAACATAGTCCGAATAAACGGCCAAACGCCCGAATGCATTCAACATACACTGTTCTCTCTTGACCCTCAGCATTTCCCCCCTCCTGCTCCCTCCTAGCTCTCGCATCCCCAACAAGCCGATCAAGCTCATTCAAATGCGACACCGCGTCCCTTTCCGCGACAATATCATCAAACTCAGCCTTTGCATTCGCTTCCAGCTTCGCGTTCAGTTGCCGCCAGACACCCTCCAAGCTAGCAGGAACATGGCGCGCAGGTGTCGGAAAACAGCCTGCAAAGTTCGCATATGAATTGGCACGGAGTGTACGCGCTAGAGCCTGCTCGAAGACTTGGTTTAGACGTGAGGCGCGCGGGCCTGGGGATTGGGGGATTGGAGCTGGCGGGGGAGGGGATGGCGACGCCGCGGGCGGTTGGTGGGAATTTGATTCGACCATGGTGGGTATCTCTGCTTTCGGGGTAGAGTCGAAGAGTGAGAAGTAATGGAAAGCATGCGGGTATGGCGAGGGTTGGCGTGCAGAAGGCCGTTTCTCCAGGAATTTGGATCTGGGGTCTGTTCAACGCGACATGCCGGTCACGTGTTTCTATAGATTGAATTGGTGGCTTCGTACGTTACAGCGATAGTATTTGGAAAATTTTAATTTCCATACTCTGTGAAATGCTACATAGTATGCGACTATATCCATTCTATAAAGTAGTGCAGTGCAGATGGTATACTTGGAAGAAAATTCAGCTACCGACCAACTCCTAGCCCTAACTTAATGGATCTAGGCCCAGCCAACTCCGGCGTCTGTTCTCCTCATTCTCGGCTTTCACCAAAAGAGCAGGACTCGGGCTTTGAGAGCCTTTCCGTAGATGGAAAGATTGTATATTCGTCGCCGAACGAGATATGCGCCACGAGCATACGCGGCTATGGAGGTCAGACCAAAGTAATTTGAATGCGGGCCATGAGATAGAGACGTATATAAGGCTGTTCCAAAAGCCCTGGAGGGGAAGGACAAAGCTAGATGCATAGTTCAGACTAAAACTAAAGTCGTTAGGACGAGCCAGGGAATAGACTCTGTTTATCGTTGAGGGGACCTGCAGTGTCGAACAATCAACACAAAGAACCGACAGCAGTTTTTAGATTATAACCGGCTTCAATTAGACCTACCCATGTAACAAGCAATGCAATGAAGAACAGCATAGCGTATTTTGTATATGCCCACGTTGCTGAACTAGCTTCTGTGGACGTCGACCTCCGCTGTGAGTCTGCCCCATCCGGCCGCCCAGTCTTGCCAAAATTATCCTGTTGAAGAGGGCTGGAATCGGGTTTTGAGCTCGAATTTTGAAGCGTGTTGGCTGTACTACCGCCCTCGATCGTGACTGAGTATGCTCTGAACGCATTAGACGGCAACCCGCTCGCGTTGCCCTCCGACAAGGATCGGCGCTCTGGAGTGAAACAGGCAATCTCCCTGGTAACTTGAATGCCAGTCAACATAGCAAAGGGAGATTCTGGGACAAGATCTGAGTCAATGCCGCCGAGATTCCGAAGCTGGCGCCGTTTCTGGTAAATCACCGTCCCTGCTCGTAGATAGATGGCGAAGGTCAATGAGATAATGAGCCAGACTGGTCCGTAGAAGATGGCGATGCGGAGGAAGGACCACTGTACAGAGATCCAGCACCAGAGCTGTCGAGGGATGATTGGATTAGCATGGGGTGATAGAAGGGAGGACTTTGGGGTTCTGCTTACGAGGGCGGAGCCATATATTCGGCCCCGAGCTTGGGTCTGGATGAAGAAGTATGCGAAGGCTGGGACGAATGGAACACCGTAACAGCAAAGCACATATTTCCATTCGAGTCGACGTAGTTGCTCGGAGTCATATTTGCGGAAGAATGTTAGGTAAACATTGCATGCCATTGCAAAGGTCCATAGTGCATCGGCGGGCATGAACCTATGTATCCTTGCTTATTAGTGGCCATCTGCTAACGGTGTTAGTTACCGATTTGATACGAACCATTGAATCAAAAACCCTTGAAACTGGCACAGGGAACTATCAACCCCAGAATGAATTCCGTCTGCCGATATGATGGTGGCTATATTAGCCATCATGTTACCCCATGACGCATAGAACACCAAGCGGTTGATGGGTTTACGGAACGAGGGGGACCAAATAAAAGTAGCGACTATAACGAAAGTGCCAACAAGGGAGATAGTCGAGCAAACACGCTCTGTAGCCGAGATGGCTAATATTTGTTGTTCTGACAGCGTCATGGTACATGGTCTATGACCTAGTCGCCGCGAAAAGGGGAGGGCGTCCAGCTCCTGAAGGTTATAGGTTATATCCACTGCAGATATGAACCGAGAAGATCCCCGTGGTTCAACAAAACCATGTTAGCTTGTGGCAAATCGAGGATGCAGATGACCGTAGATTTACCAGCGGGGGACTTATTTTCGGGTTGGGTTAACCCTTGAAGCAGAAGGCAAACGGTTCGAGGAGATATGCCCAGAGCACAATACCACCTGCTTATTATCCGCAACGGGCAACAAAGGAAAAAGGCAAATGACAAATGAGGCAAGACCAGGCCAATCAGGATATTTCTGGTTATTTCTTTCGGCTTATAGCTAGGAAGATGACCTGGTGCCGAGTCATGCAACAAAGGACGCGGTCCTAACAGTATTAGGTTCGAACAACTACCAAGAAACGGAGTAAGAACCAAGCAGGATATCTTTTAAATATTTTCCTCGTTTCAAACACCGCATGGGCCAGGGCTCAAACCGGTACTCCTAGGGAAGGACATGCGAACGATTCCAGTGTGGGTGGTACCACAACGTGCAATCTCCCAGGATTTACGGAATAGATAGGAGATTGGACAAGGGATGAGTGCTGGTTTGCATAGAAAAGCCTCGGAGGCATAGCCCTTGGGGTTGCACCAATGATTAGAGTCATTGTTTAGGCCTGCAGCCTTTGTCCCCGCCGCTGTTGGGGTTCGACAGTGCTTGAAGGGGTGAAGTAACCTGAATATGCCAAGGGTTACAACGGGGTCGATATTTGAGGGGCCTTGTGAGATCCTAAAGTCAGTTCGCCCGTGTGTGACACTAGCACAACTGTTTCCCCCCGATGTTCTCACAGCTCATTAGTCGTTGTAGAAGACCAGATTGAAAGACGGGTGACTGCATGTTTGAAAGATTTCTCCGAACAAGCAAGCATAAAGGAATTCAAACGCCAACGGAATGCCCGAAAGGGTTGCTCTTAAGTACTTATGGTTGGGTACTTAAAATAAAGCGCAGTACAGCAGCTATGAGCTCGCTCGTCCCGAAAATCCTTGGCCGGTGGACAAAGAACCAGTTGCAGCAAAATGACAAGATATTCCCGAGGATTGCAGTTCCAGCGGGGACATTTGAACTAGGCCCAAGCGCTTGTTGCACAAGTCTCGCTGTGTGTGTTAATAAATACAGCTTGGGGGTGGATGACAGAATGCATTTCTCGAGGAATAGCTATTGCTATTTAGAAGACGACAGGCAGAAGGTTGATAAAATCTGGAGCGCTGCTCCAGAACATTATCAAGACAACAGAACAGTGCCCCGAAGTCAATTCATCTCCAATTAGGCCATATACTCCTCATCTTTGACAAAACTGGCCCAAAATCCGCAATATCAAGTTGTTTTAAAAAAAAGAAAAAAAGAGACGCAAAAAATATCCTTCATCGGGTATAACGCCGAATTCTCCCATGTCCAATTGTCCAATCGAGCTCGTCATCTCGTCATGCGCAGGCTAGACCGCTAATAAGCGGGCTGCGGGGGGATCATGCCTCCATATCCAGCCATCTGCTGTTGCTGGTGTTGCTGCTGCAATTTAGCCTGGATCTGAGGCAAATCATGGAACCACGGGTGCTTCAGAGCCTCGTTGGCGCTGATGCGCATCTCCGGACGGAGTTGGAGCATACGGTTTAACAGATCCATCCCGATAGCATCCATTTGAGGGATGATCAGCGACAGATCCTGCGTGGCGTAGATTTGGAAGTCGGACTTGTATTCTGGCAGCTGCGAGATGCCGGGCCATGTACGTTCGGATGGTGTACCCATCAGACGGAAGATCTTGACCAATTGATCCTCGTTGGTTGTTCCGGGGAAAAGCGGACGGCCCGTGTACATCTCTGCCATGATGCAGCCAGCGGACCAGATGTCAATGCTGGTGTTGTAGGTGCGACTTCCGAGGAGGACGTCCGGTGCGCGGTACCACAGAGTGACTACTTCGTTGGAGAAGGTATTAACCGGGATGCCGAATGCGCGGGCAAGTCCAAAGTCACCCAGCTTGAGCTGACCCTTCTTGTTGATTAGGAGGTTCTGTGGCTTCAGATCGCGGTGGAGGACTCGGTTGTCATGACAAAAAGCGATGCCCTTGAGTAGTTGGTGCATGAAAGATTTGACCGTGGCAGGATCCAGCTGTCCACGATCACCGCGAGTGTCCATATATCTCTTCAAATCTCTGTCCATGAACTCAAAAACAAGCATGAGTTTGTTTTCCGTGTGGATGACATCGTAGAGCGAGACAATACTCTCATGCTTCAGCTCCTTCATGAGCGAGATCTCACGGATTGCGGTTGACGGCGTTCCCTCCTCCGAATCCAAGTGGATTTCCTTCAGCGCTACCATTTCACCGGTTTGGCGATTGCGCCCTTTAAAGACCTGTAGTATTCTGCATCAGCGGTGAGCGGGGAAGAGGCGATCAGGCTAGGAGCCCGGGGGGATGAGGGGGGAGAGAGATCGAGAGAGATTGAGACGTACGGTAGCATAAGTGCCTTCACCGAGCTAGAAATAAGACGAATACTCGTTAATGAAGATTCTAGACCCGATAATGAGGGGAAAGGCATACCTTTTCCAGCTGCTGGAAGGAACTGGGCTGCTGAGTCTTGTCCATTTTCTGTGGAACTTTGGAAGCCGGTGGCCCCGATGGTTTGGGTTTAGAATGGAAGAGAAAGTGACCAGGGGATACCAGATTTGAGGCGATCTTTAAAGGGTGGGCAGGATCCCTGAAGTGCTCCATGCTGAGACGTGAGGGAGGAGGCCCCGCGCTGAGCGGCCCGGGACTTGTCATAGTTGGCCCTTTTTCTTTTGGCCTGAGTTGGCAGGCGCTTATTATTTCTACACTGATTTTAATTTTTATTGTTGCTATAAGTGGTGTATTGTTTATAATTTGATTTTAGAATGTCCTCTTCTTATGTTCTAAATCTATAAATTGGCTGGAAGTTGGGATACAACGGTCGGAAGGACTGACTGGCATGGATGGCTACACCGGACATGAGGAGTAGGTTCATGTCCAAGATTTCCAAAAAGCAGGGCTTCATTCCTCACGCCACCAACGTTGACAATACCAATCGGCATGCCTCGTTTGTGTGCTCGTTCCACTAGGCGCCACGCCGAGAAAGTCGCCAGGCTGCTACCTAAGATGAGTAGCCGCCCAGCATCGTCGATCGCTTCTTCAGCCGCTGTCTTCACCAGTGGATCGATATTTTCACCAAACATGATCACTGCCGGTTTCAAAATGCCGGCGTTTGAAGTCGCCGATAATGCCCCGTCACTCTCTACCTCTACAATCGCCTTTGTGCCATCGTGCAGCGTGGGAGGATTCTCCAAGCATGTCGGACATGGAGGATAACGGAAAGTAGAATATGGCGCTTCAGCGAGGTCAACGTCGCCATCCGGGTTGAGCTTCAAGCCTTTCCGCCGTTGCTCTTCCGGATTATCGGTATCGAGCGCACCCTCTGCAACCATACGAGCCAAAAACTCCGCCCAAGCTGGATTAAGTTTCTCCAGCGACGCTTGAAAGTCGGCGCGGGGAAGTTGGTTTTGACAGCTAACGCAGACGACCGATCGCAAGTATCCGTGTAGTTCGAGGGTAGGCAGTTCGGGATGCGCGAGGGAATGAAACGAGTCGACATTCTGCGTTACAACGGAACTGATGTACCCTTTCTCACCGAGACCTTTAATCGCCCAATGAGTCGAGTTCGGCTTTGCTTTCAGAAGCCCGGGCCAGCCAACGAAGCTGCGCGCCCAATACCGCTTGCGTGACTCATGGTGGGAGATGAACTCGTGGTAGTAAATCGGACGGTAAGATTTGTTTCGCCGGTAGGTACCTTGGTCGCCTCGATAATCTGACAGACCAGACGCGACCGAGATACCTGCGCCAGTCAGCAGTACCGTCTGGGAATGTCTCCCCACATCGACGCCGCGGAGATTAAAGGACGGTGGCGCAGTGAAGAAAGTGTTGATAGCATCAATTGCGCCTGCAAGTGTCGTTGCAGCCCGAGGTGTTATTATAGCAGGCGGCAATGGTCCCGTGAAAGGGATCCTAATAGCAGGCGTCGTCATTGAAGACCATCATATGTTCACCGATGTCTTGGCGGAACGGGGAGTGGAGGTTCTCCAACAATGGCGTAGTTGCTTGGCGGACACGAAGGTATCGTCAAAGATTATATTAAAGTAATCTGAAGGATAAATAAGGAATCTGATAGGCTCCGGGTTGGTAGTCCGGTTTGAGGGGATCAATAGGAGTCATGGAGATGGTCATGGGGAGAAATGCAAACGTGCAGATTGGATTGGAAACGGAAAATTCCAGGGAATAGCCGGATGACATGAACATCCCACTTACACCTGGGCAAACTCATCTTTCAGGCGGATTAGATGTAACTTGTACGGAAATCCCTGTCTTTACTACACAAAGACCCCTGAAAAGAACACTCTGTCCAATCCTTTGTGCTCGCGTGCCTTCGACGCGATGCCACTGACGCAGCCCCTATGCAGGCTCAGGCTTCGCCCTCTCCACTTACGGATCTCCAGTCTCAGATCACTTACTGCCCAACGGCGTATACTTACTTCCACTCCTTTTTTAAAAGACGCTTCTTCCTTTATTTTTCACT